GGCAATCCCACCATTACTCTAATATATCAGTGCATGATAATTTTGAAAGATAATAATGCTCTTGGATAAGTGTTTTTTTTATTTTGAGCTCCTGCAGGTACCGTCACCTCGTGTATATGAACAACAAAATGGATTTGCATGGAACATTTTGTTGGGAGTCTTAAAAGACTTTCCAAAAGGCACTTTAAAGGTCTTTACAAGCGAGATGTACCAAAATTACCTTTTAAAACAGCTTTTTTTCCTATTCTTGTTCACTTCTTTTTCCATAGTGCCTCTTACCTTGGTTCACAGTTAGTCAGTAATTATAAGACACGTAATAAGACTGGCAAGTGATGTAGTGTGACCAGTGCTCATTGAGTTTATAATAATGTATTTTGTTGAGACTAACAATGCCTTTTCATGTTGCATTAACTTTTTAGGTGTTTGAGACAAGCTTCACCTTGTTTTTATGTATATAATTGAATGTGGGCAGTAGGGCTTTCTGTTAGAGAAAAGGTCCTTCCACAATACCTGCATGGAAAATTTCACAGAGGTCTTAAGAGCAGACAGAAAATCAGCAACTGTTGAACAATGTGAATCCCAAAGTTTATGGGGGGAGCTTATCAATGAGTATAAATACGTGGTGGGGCTCGTGTTAAAGGAGATTGAACCAGACTCTTCAGCATTGCCCAGTGTTATGTCAGGAAACAGCGGGCACTGATTGAAATGCAGGAAACTCCATTTAAATGTAAGATAAAGGTTCTTCTCTGGATGAGGTTATCCAGCAATCTTGTGGAGTCTCCATTTGTGGGAATGGTCAAAATCTGTACACCCTGAGCAACTTGCTCAAGGTGGACTAGACAATTTCTGGAGTTGTCTTCTGACCTCTGTGATTAGTGGCTTCCAGGGTGATCACCTCTTGCCAGGATAAATGTTTTAAGAGCTGACAATTTGGTAGGCTGGTTTCTTTATCTCAGAATGTGGAGCCACTCCAGAAGGAATTAAGTCTTTAGTAATCATGAGAACATGCACTCTTAGACTCCTTTGGTGTTCATAATGGAAGGAAAACACATGTTACTATCCAGGGAGATAGCAGATGATAATGCTTAGATCAGCTGCTAACTTACAATTAAAATGCTTCCTTTTGAAGTTGCTTTTGTCTGTGACTTGAGATAAATTTTCTTTCTGGTGGCAATAACTTGGCATTCCAGCACACATCTCTGAAAGGACAGAAGGCACACTCCTGAAAGTGCCATCACTGCATGGTGCTAACATAGGAGCAGTAGCATGGGCAGACCATTTGGTCTGTCTTCCATGTGTGGAGGATCCCAAACAGTCTCTCTCCTTCCACCAAGAGTGTTATGAAGTGGGAAAGAGAGTGAAGGGAAAGAATGAGGTGCGATTTTAACCAAAAACACTGAAATAAGAGGAACCCATCTGGTGACATTTTGCTTGTGAAAGGAATAGTCCTGAAGTTTTGCCAAATACTCTGTATTTTAACAGGACTGGGTCTTCAGGAGGACTTTCTCATTAGTTTGATTTCTATTTTATTGCGAAAGTGGGTCATTTCACACAGTTGTGCACAGAGCTTAGCAGGATTCATTCCCATAGTAAAGGAGGAGGAGTCAACATTTTGGAGCCATAACATCACCTTCATCTCTGAGAATCTTTAGTTGAGCTTTTCAGATCATTTAATAGAAACCTTTCCCTCTGGAAATACCTTTCTGTGTAGTATAAGAGAGGTTGCATCTTCAAGAGAAAAATGTGTCTTTCATACTAAGACAAGAATTGGTCTTTTGGGTGCTTTTTCTCTTCCATAACTGAATTAGGATATGAAATTATTGATCAGGAGAACGTAAGATTGCATTTCTTTGTTTTAAAGGAGGTAAATTACGATATAAGGTAACCATCCTTAGATGGTTCTCTGTTACTGTGTGTGGTTGTTTGCTTTTGTGATATTTTGACATCAAAAATGGAGAGCACCACCATTAAAAATTATGCGGTCACCTGTGCTCTACCATTTAAATGTAACAGATGTGACCTTGAGTAATGTCATCCTCATCTGAAGTGCAGTGACATCAATATGGAAAGTGGTGGTTATGTTACTATTTGCAGCTGGACAAAGGTGATAAACCTATCCCAGGCAAAGAGTTCCCATGGTGGTTTGGTATGGCTTATGATTTGCTTCATTTGAAAAAATAATGGTGGTGTGATTGATGTTGTATTTTTCTAGTGCTGCTGATTGTTTTATTTGAAGCTATAGAGGAATCTCCGTCCTGAACTTGCTGAAGGAACTTGGGAAGATGATAAATTCAGTATTTTAGGCATTGTGTCTTTGTAATGCTGATGGACAGTCCAGATCCATGGCAGAGGTTCCTAACGAACAGCATACGAACTTTGAAGCTCTTACTTGAAATTCGGCTGGCGAGTCTTTTTCTTTGTCGTTACTGATGGTCCTGGCAGTTTCACTTGCCATCTGTTTTCCTGATACAGATAACATTAAGCTGCATACTTGCTTTCTTGTGCAACCCCAACTGTTCTTGTGCACAGCTTTACTTGATTGTTAGCTGAAGCTGTTCCTTAATGATTGGGAGAAGCAGAAATTATATTATATTTTGGGTTAAACAGGAGAGCAGGAGACTGGTCCTTAGAACTGATGTGTTAGATCAAGTGCATGGTAACAGCTTTAAAATTTGCGTCACACACACTATTTAGCTATTTTCAGTCACAGCTGGTAGGGATTGATGCTACTTCTTATAGGAGTAAATAGGCATAAATACCCTAAAAAATTGGTTTAGAAACTAGGGTAAATAAAAACTGAAGATCAGGTCATCTGCAGAGCTCAAGTGTTTTGATAAGCTGAGGCAGAACTGTAACTGGGCCTATTTTTTCTCATAATTTCATACTTGAAAAATTACCTTTCATTTTCACCTTCAAAAATTACCATTTATTAGAAAAATTACCTTCAATAACTTTTTGAAAACCCCAAATTATTGGCAGTTCTGGGAGACACAGGTACCTATTAGATACCTAAATAAAAGTATTTACAATCCCATTTATTGGTGTCCCTTGGTTTTTTGGAATTTGTCTGTGCCATGGAGCAGTGCAGGATGTTGACTCAGAGCAGGCACACCCATGGAGGGTTCTTGGCAGAATAGTTAGGTATTGACTCCATGTGGACTGTACTATTTACCTCTAAAGGAAAAAACTTACCTGGCCCCACGGAGAAGCAATGGGACCAGATATCTTCATATTGGGCCTTCAAAAGTCTGAGATAAGAGCTAGAGAGAAGAATCCATGTTGTGGAAATAAATTCTGCACATCATAGGCTTTGATGATGAGGGTAAAAATTACGTGTGCCCACATATGCATCAGAAAAGGTGACTGATGCAAGGAAGAACAGGATTAGGATCTGGCAGATAAGGTCCCAGTCTGGGGAGGTGGGGGAAGTGAGGAACAGAGCATTATGACTATGATCACCTGGTTAAACCACAGAGGGAGCCAATACGTGGCAAATGGTGAACTTGGATATTATACTGTATTTTGTGTTAAACGTGCAGAGTTGAGTTTCAGGTTTAGCTTCTCTTACCCTCATTTTGTCAGTATCCTAAATTTAATTGAGCACCATTATCCTTTAAGCTGTAGACTTTGAAGAATTACCTCATTAGTCTGGTTTGTGACTTACTTAATTTTGTATTTCTGTCTACGCTACCAGCCTGCAGGTGGTTTTTTAAAGTGAATTTCTTCCTGAATGTCTGTAATTGTGTTTTAGTGCATTTCTGTCTAGACTGGCAGCTGTTATAAATCAGCATGATCACAATAGTTCCACTGAGATACTGTTTTCGTATCAATATTCTTACAGTTCAGGGTGAACTCCAGCAGTTTTTGCTCTGCCAGAACTTGTGTTTCTTCTCTGTGAACTTCTGTAGTAACAGCTACAATGGGGATTGGCCCAACCTAAATGTGTTTTTTTTTCCTTTCTGTTTGTTTCAGATGGTAAATAGTATCTATAGTTCTAGGACAATAATAATTTTACTTTAGTAATCTTACTCAGCAGGTTATTTCTTACACCATTGCAATCCCATTAATTCCAAGAGGCTCTTATTAAAATTGCTTTATAAAATAGAAGTGCTTCTGTAGTAAAGAAAAAAATGAAAGAAGCTGAGTGACAGGTATTATATTATACAATGTATCATATAGTAATAGTGCATAGAATAACATGCTGGTTAATGTAAGAAAGAATGTAAAGCTATAACCCATTCAAGGAAAAAAGCATTTCCCGGTACAATTGGGTTCTAAAAGTGAAGGAAAAAACCAACATGCAGTAATCTAGGTCATAATAGTTTGGCCACAACAGTAGTTTTTTGACCACTTTGCAATGCATTTTGAAAAAGCTAAAACGTTAAAATAAAGATTTATGAGGATAAGGATGTGTCTTAATATTAAAAATTAGATAATTGAGTTACAATTTCATTTGTGTGTCTTGGTACTATCCAACTTTGGCCTGCTTTTACAGGCACTTTTGCATATCTGTGACTATATTTCCCCAAGCAGTTAAACAGGAATTAATGTGATAACTTAATGTGATGCTTAAACAGTTTGCGTAGGACTTTGTTTCCCAGATCAGTTTCTTAAGGCACAAAAGAACTTGTATCATGTTTTGGTTTGGTTCCTGTCTTGACCAAAGCATTTTCTGTGGGATTGAAATATTTTCCAAAGATATTCATCAAGTTGATGGTGGTACTGTTCTTTTGTTAGGATTGACTTCATGGTCTGTCCATGGCAAGAGAGAAGTGGAATCTCAGCTATTCAAAGAGATAATAGTAGTCATTCCCACAGGTACCCCTGTGGAACATGGAGAAGATCTCTCTGGAACTAATGTCCTCTAGCTCTTCACAGCCCCTGGCAAACCCACAACCAAAGGACAGGCCAAGAAATCTGACGGGGAGGAAAGACACGCTTTGACATTAATGGGGAAGCAAGCAGTTACTGTCACTTTTCTTTCCCTATTTTAAATGTAGAATGAAGAAGGTTTCCTGCAGGAGGGAATGGTGAATAATTCAGATGTTCCTGTGGATCCTGAGAACGAGGCTTACGAAATGCCTCCAGAGGTAAATCTGTTGTGGTATTTGCAGTAAGTGCACGTTAAGAGAAGGGCACGGGAGGAGGCTGCATGCGCGAGTTACATGAGCCCGGCACGCACTGATGCTGTGAGCTGCAAGAGCACAGCAAAAATGGGGTTCTTTGGCCAAAATCTGCCAGAGGTGTAGTGCTGGGAATCAGAAAATTAATTGCTATTTTTGTTAGTAAGGGAGTTAAATGGGAAAATACTCTGTGTGTTTCAAAACTCTCGGTCCTAGGTTTCTGAGTAATCCGCAGTAAACTTGTATCTTTTTTGTTATGTTTAATAGGGAATGCAGGACAAACTGCATCTTGATAGATTGTTTTAATAGCTTGGCCACTTACCAGTCCATCATGCTTTGTAAAACACGATGTTAAGTGAATGCAATTATGGGAGTAAATTATTTTGTTGGTTTTTATGAACCAGCTATCTAAAATATTACTACAATATCTGGCATGATGCATGAGTAGTTGGAGTAGCAGTTTTACAGTAGCGCAGATAATTAGACTGAAAATGAGAGGTATAAAAAATTTAGGCCATGATCCAGTAAAACACTTAAAGGCACATTTGAGCATAACATCTTGAATATCAGTGAAATTTTGATGCTGCTCATGTGTCTGTAGTGAAACACTCCCTTAAATGACTGAGCGACTCATATGAGGATCTGCAGCACCTGGTGTGCCATTCAGCCCAGAGGTTGTCCTCCTCCCTCTCCAAGTGAATTTTCATGGGTGGCCTCATGAGTTCCTGGCAACATCAGCTGAATTATGTGTTAGTCACTGTAGAAGTGAGAATTAGTTCTCTAAGTACCATATCTTGTAAGGTAGAGGATCTCGAAAATGTGACAATATACAAATAAATGTCAAGATCCTGATCAAATGAAAATCAATAATAATTTGGCATTGAATCCTCCAGGACTAGAATAAACAGTGAAAGTAAGATGTGTTTATCTAAAATACTAGTAGTGCTGATTTCTGCTCTCCTCATTAGGAAGAGTATCAAGACTATGAACCTGAAGCATGAGAGTCCTTTCCTTCCTTTTATCACCTGAAATCTACTAACTACTAAAGACGTCCCATCCTGTACAAGTGCTGAGTTCCAATGTGCCCAGTCGTAAAATTTTTTTACAGTTTTTACAGTGTATTTTGAAGTCTTCCATCAGCAATGATTGGAGTATCTGTGACCGCATCCACCTTGTTTCAGCATTTCCCTCCTGCTGAAATGAAACCGGTTGGCAGGGTCATTGTTGTGCTGTGGATATTGTGGCTTCAAGTTTAAAAGTTAAAAAAAGAAAATATTAAGTAAAAACACCTAGGTGTCTAATGCTTATTTCTAATTCTGTACATGTTTTGTTGATAGCCTGTCAGTAATTTGATATTGTTTATGATACAGTTTTTATTTGTTTCCTATGACTATTCTTTCTGTGCAGAGATGACTTATTGTGAGAGCTTTATATATACGTGTATGTATTATACATATAAAAAAAAAAGTAATTGAGCATGAACTATGCACCTATAAATATTAACTGTTGAAATTTTATTGTTTGGTGATGTGTTTTATTAACTTGTGTCTGTAAATAATGGTGTTCAACTGAAGCAAATAAAACATAACCCATTAAAAAATAATTTCTGTAGTAGTGATGATTCCTAACACCACTTTTCCCTTCCAAAAGGCCCTGTTAAAGCATTCAGACTGTGTTGCTTCTTGTGAAGGAACTGGAGGAACAAAACCAGCAAATGGCAGCCCAGTCTGTACAAAAAACATGGTGAAGAATGAGGGCATCAGGGATGCTACCTCAGCTGAGTAAATTGTTGACCAAATAGATTCATTTGTAGGGCTAATAAACTTCCTGTTGTAAGGACAAATTGAAAGTGAACAAAGCCATTAATAATGGGCTGCAGCAGATTATCAGGAAATCATGAGGCCTTTGAAGAATTACTGTTTTGAGGTTGTTGAAGTGCTGGGGTATACAGTGATGGATTAGTTGCAGTGAATTTATCTTGAATAAAGTTCCAGGAAAAGTACAGTCTCTTGTCTGTTTTTAGACAGATTAATTTTCAGTTATTATGTTGCCTGGGTATTTTTCCATATAATAAAAAGATTTAAATGTGAGACGTTTTTACTTTTATCATGTTTTATTATTTGTTACTTTGGATCTAATGTTGTCTCTAACTTGAAGTAGTTTTGTATTTAAGGTTCACTACTCTTGAGTAGGATTTTGAACTTCCCTTACAGCTAGTCTTTTCTGTGTTATGGTTAACAGGTAGGTATCATTGTCTGGTTTTGTAGATAGGGAATCTTAGGCACAACCACATAATGCACTGCTATGCACAAAAAAGAGGACAAAAGGCCTGGAGGCTGAACTATCCAACTTGTTCTTGATTTGAGTTCCTTTCTGGCTTTCTGCAGCCTTCCTGGTATTAGCATGCCCAATGTGGAATACATCTTTCCTAGTATGAACCCATCCCAGCTGTATTCAGTGAGAGTTGATGGTCTAATACCGTGAGGTAAAATCACATGGACATGCTGCTTTCATGATGCTTAGAAAACCAGTGCTTCAATTTCCCATGTCACCCCCCAGACCTAACCCCGTATTTCTAAGGAATTTCATTTATTTCAGAAGAATTGCTGTATCTTTTTCAAAGCAATTAAATTCCCCTTGATCATTTCAAACTTGCAGGCATTTTCATCAATAGTTTAGTTGCTTAATGGAGCCTAAAGTCCTGTGCTCTTTTGCAAAAATCTTTTATGGTAGCCTGCAACATTCTGCTAACAGTTTGCAGTCTCCTTCAGAGGTGGTGTGTCAAAAGAATTTCTTGACTTGGATATCTCTACTGTTAAAAATCAGTGCCTCAGTGACAAATCTATTGATTGTATCCCTGGGAAATCAGGACACGACACAGTGTAAGATACTGCTTTTATAATTATTAATGTTGGTTTAGGATCTTTCTGTTCTAGGAGAAGGATTTGGGAAGAAAAGCCCAGTGCTGTAGTGTGATTTTTTTTTCCCCAGCACAGCAGCAGACTCATCCACCAAAAGCAACAACTGAGACCAGTCTCATGCTTGATACTTCAGAAAACAGCGCTGGAAATAGCAACCTAAGTAGAATATGTATTTCTGTTGTTTGTCTTCTCTTCCACAGCCCTACAGGTCTTAATTGCTCTATTTCTCTGTTAAGAGAGTCAAATTAAACCGGTTGCTCGCATGTTGCAAATAAGTCATGCACTTCTTAAATCAGCTCTGGGGAGCAGTATGTCATAAAGAACAATAAGAAATCTGCTCCTGAGACCGGTCCATTGCCTGAACATGTAAGAGTTAATTAATTCCTTTCCTTGGTTAATATCAGATCATTCGGAGTTTTTAGGTCATTTAAAACATACCGTAAGTGATCAGTTTAGTTCTTGTGCCTCTTGCAAACATGCCCTCAGATGGCCCCAAAAGTCCATGGGACCCCTGGTTACTATGGCAGCACAGTGTGATGCACTGCTCTGGTAACATGCTGAATTTTAATTAAATTCCTGTAAGGGCTGTCAGACCATCCTTTCCAGGTAAACTAAGTGCCATTTTGTCTCATTTTCTGCAGTGACTTTATCTTACTTTTTCGGGTGAATACTGGCATGTGGATTGCAAATGTCGGAACTGTGTTGGCTGCTAAAGCTGAACTAAATAGATACTGCTGCATTCAGATTTTTTTGAGTGTCTAATCTAGGAATTAGAAAATTATAAAATTTGTTTAAACAATGTCTACTAGAGAGGAATATAACTCGGAGCTCTTTTTTTCTTAAGAGCTTGTATTTTAACTCAAAAGCAATCTTCTATTCTTATATTAAGACCTAATAATGAGCCTCACCATATCCTAGTCCTCCAGGGGAAAAACACATGTTGCTTTTTTTTTCTAGTTTGACAACTTTAATTGGTCTTATAATGGTTCCTAATTAAACACCTTGTAATAATATTTTTATTACTGTAAATCATACTGTTAATACTTGTGTTACATGCCTTTCATATAATGACTTTCAAGTAATTTTGTTTCCCTGCCAAGACTTTCCTTCATTCCCTCAAGACAGCTGTAGGCAAGTTAAGGTAAATTGCAATGTCATAAACTCAAAGAAAAGTAACATGACTGCACCTCTTCAGGAAGCACAGATTTTATTCATCCTGGCTTTCATAGCTTGGGTGGCCCAGGCTAAGGGATTTTCATATGGAAGAATCAGACTTGGACAGTGAATCCATCAGCTGCAGCAGACTCAGAGTAGAGACCCCTGCCTCCAAGAGCTGTGAGACTGGAAGATTCAGGACTTTCCATTTAATGGCTGAAATTATTCCAGGAGCACAACAGAAGACAGGTAAGGAATGGCTGCCTCCACTTGTTCCTGAAATTCAGATGGGTGTTTTAGGACAACTATAGCTCCAGTATACATTAGATCTTCTCATAAAAATTCCCTGTGGCAGTCTGTACTGATGTGATGAGTTTCCAGTTCTTTTCTGTATGCTTTTTGGGGAGAAAATAACTGCTGAAACCCTGGATTGTAGAGTTTGCTAAGACACTGGCTGTACAGTACTTTTTTTCATCAGTCAGGTGGCATGCGATGAGGGTACATACCAGGGCTCTGAGCCCTAACTCGATGAAAATAGAAGTTTTTTGTTTACTTACATGGATTTAGATGATTCCCAGTGCCTCTCTTAAGTCTGCATAGAACTAAGCAGAGATCAGGTGATCAAGGTTCATTTACAGAATATCTAAGAGTAGCAAAAGTAGCAGAAAAACAAATATACCGCAATAATCCCACAGATAAGTCTTCACCAGACTTTTTCAGCATAGCTGTGGTCTTACAAACTGGCAGAATACCATACCTCAAATGTTGGGTTTGAATGGAGTAGTTACCCATAGGTATTGCAACCTTAGAGGGAATTAACTCCTTCAGGTAATAGATATTTATTCACATATTAATGCAAAGTAACTCTTTGTGTTCTGCTCTGAAATGACTTAGGAGGTAAGTGGGAGAAGACATGGTTCCCTGATACTGGTTTTGAGTTCCAGTGACTTTACCTAAATTATCTGATACTTTTTGGCCCCTAGCTTGAGGCTTTTAACGTTACTGGAAAAGACTCTAATAATGGGCTTCACAGGGTATCATTGTTCTGCTTGGATATACAAAAGTCTGAAATAATAGCATCACTTTTCACATAAGCAGACCTGCCCTTGAGTTAAGGTAACCAAAAGCAAAGCAGATCTTAGCCTTTAGTTGTCTCTGTGATGCATTTTTAATGGAAAATATAATCTGTTTAAATGCAGACATAAATAACTTTTCTTCAGCCTGCCTGACATTTAACGTGTAACTCAGAAGGTTCCTCTGATACAAAAAAGACTGGCAGATGGAGAAGCAGCAGGTGGAGCCTCAGATGAGACAGCCAGGAGGTAACAAACTGAGTAGGAAAGTAGGTCAGATGAGATTTCTTCCATGTTGGAATCAGTGCTTTCACAAATGCTTCCTCCAGTGGATGCATAAAAGTGGTTTTTTGGCATTTCCCATTAATATTCACGTCTCTGAATAGGTCAAAGTCTATCAGCAACTGATACATCTATGAGCCATATTTCTGTGGGAAAGGCAGAAATGTCTGAGATTACAAGTATGCTTTTTTCAGCGTAGGAGAACTCTTTACAGAAGGCCAAAGCACCTATGATTGTTAAGTTATCTGATGATTAACTTGAGATTTAACAAGGAGAATGTTTTTAGGAAAAGGCAACTGCTGGAATACCTCAACTTCTTTCCTTTTTCTTTTTACTCACCACAAGTGTCCATTTCATTGCAAAATTTTACTCCAGCCGTTTTGTCTAGTATGTTGTGATAAAGCTGCAAGCATGCCTGGAGAGCTGGGGTTCTTAGTCTTTGATCTTCCCTATAAAAAGAGGAAGACATCTTGTCTCCTTCTTGGTGGCTCCATCACTGGATCCAAGGCAGAGGCATTGCCCCTGAAGTGGAGAGGCACAGTGCCTGTTCAGGGAGGGCAGAGGAAGAGGTTTGGAGGAGCAAAACAGACATGAGAGCCACGCTGAGAATTGGCTGGCATTCATCCTGCCTCCCTCCCCTGGGCACTGCTTCTGGTGTCAGAGGCTAATGATAGGAAATAGCCCATGGCTTTACAGTTCTGCCAAGGACTGGCACCTCGAGGAGCTGGGTAAATTCAAGGGCTCTCCATGAGACAGAATTCCTGTGCTGTTTGAGGAGAATGGGTTTTTTATGTTGAATTCCTCTTTCTATTTTTCTGCCACCTGAAGTCCTCTATACCAAGAAAATAAAAGCAATTGACCAAGGAGTGTACTAGATTATTGAATAAAAAAAGAAGTATGCTGATTTTATCAGTCTCCTGCATAGAAGAGGGCACTGCACAATGCCCTTGGGACTGTATCCTCTGTTGTTTGTTCAGGTGTTTTATTTATATGAATTTCAGTTGCACAATTCCGTGAAGCCTTGCAAAAATAACAAAGATGGTCATCTAATGTTAGCACTTGGTAAGACAGCATCCTGCTGAATTGGTTGTATCGTCTACTTCCCAACCCCCAAAAAATCTCAAAAGGAGCAGCCTTAGCAAAAAGACATAACAATGCTGTTGAGTGA